TTGCTAGGTGTACGCGTGAAGTGCGCAACTGGCATCCAACACTCCATGCTCTCCTTCCATCTCCAAGCAATGAGGACGCGCGAATCATCGAAAACATGCCTAGTTGCCCAGGTCTATGCAGAACCAATGGCAGCTAATATTTAGGAGGGACAATGAAAATGATCTAGACTAGGCATATTTGCAAATTAAGGGAGCCTGCGTTAGCGTATTGTCCCTACATATCAATATCGTGAATGAATCGAGTCCATTATTTATATTCCATTAACATTTGGAACGTGGGGACTATTCTTCTTCAATCTTCAGCCTTTTATCTCCTCAGAACCACAAGTTTGCATCGCTAAAACCTTGCTACGATTGGGATATATACTGAACTCAACTGTGGAAAAGGGAATTTCTCGGACGGAGTTGCTCGGGGAAATTTTTTGCCAGGAAAAAGGCGACGTCTTCTCTTTGCCGAGGAGGGAAGATGAACACCAGGAAATGCATAGGTCTGTCATGAGGCCATTTTCCAATGACACTCCCAGACATTTTGACAATCTATTCGACTCTGTTATGAGGCATCTCTGTCTCACAGGTTCGCCCAAATCGCCCCAAACTGCGTGTCTGAGAACGGAAGATTTCCTCATGTAACAACGAGAAGAGAAGAACAGAAAATATTGGATTCTGGAGTTGCATGCATGACCATTCATCTCTGATTCCTTAAAAAAATGTGAGATGGTCGAGTGTCGCCAATTATGTCAGTTGTATGGAATAGCCCATAACTATTAATATATGCATAATGAGGTTCTGTGAAAACAATTTTCAATGGCTTTCCCTTTCTTCAACCCCACCCCACTCCCCCTCCTTCCTTACAAGACTCTAACGTTAGGTCATAGCCTAACCAACAGACTGCCTTCAGGTTACGCCAAGGCCTACCTTTTTCTTTCAATAAAAACTCAATTCTCGACTTATGCGGCCCTATTAGCCCTATGAGGGAGAATCACTGTTCTTCAAGACATCTCGCTGAGAACGTGTGCCGTTAGGTCAATCGCAGGTACATTCAAACGTTCACGAACCATTGCAGGGAGGACATGTAGCATTAAACCGAACATTCGACCCATTTGAGACCTGTTTCGCATTTCATGAACCGTTTCAGTAGGACGTAGAATTTTAAGCCTATCTGGAGTTCCTCGAATTATCTCGAATTGGTCTGAGGAGAGAATGCCTCCAGGAAGCATGGAATCCATGGCGCGTGCCATCCTGTTAATTTAGGGATGTCCAGATAAGATACCTCCATATCGTACCACATCTATGAATCACTGCTAACCACCGCTCCATTCTCAGCTCATCTCATGAACTCAGCACAAAATGTCGCACATATTAAAAAAAATCGTAAGAACCAGAAACCAAATCATGGTAGAAGCAATCTTGAATCTAGCATAATTTCGGCACAACATCCAGAAACACTTGGGGGCGGTACTGGAGCCAGCAATATCAGCTTAATTCAACAGCAGCTAATTTTTATTTTCATGGCGATATGGTGCATCGCAAATAAAAAAGGGACACTTTTCCGCATCTAAGAGTCAATTTCTTTCTCGTAGTTGATCTCTTTCCTCCGAAAAAAAAAACCAGGAGTGACAACCCAGGGGGGGGGAGCAAATAAAAAGGATAGGATGGAAAACGCATCTTCCAAAAGCGAGATTCAGTGTTCTCCACAACCCTGGGGAAATGAAGCTTAAAATTTTTGGAGGTACTCTGTGTTGCATGCCCAAATTCGTTGTTGTAGTTGCTCTCAGATGGGAATATGAATGGGTTGAATTTTGCTACGAAGGGGTTGAAAAAGGTAGCAGGCTCTAACAAAGCCTATGGATTACCTACAGATGCCTCACACGATGTCTCTCGTTATTTCACGACTCCTTCCGTCGATGGGGAAGGAAATAATTTCGGCCTCGCTCGGAACTAGGAACCGTATATGCATTGAGATTGACGTGACTACTCGAATTTTGTGTCCAGAAGCCCATGATGTCATCTCAAAGGTATATTTGAAGAGAGATAGGTTCTAGTAGAGGCCAGAACTTATTTATTCCTAATGACTCTTCCCAATTACCACGAGATGAGTTCGACGTGACACAGGGTACACGATGGCGTAGCGACAGGATGAATCCGTCTTAGATCATGAAAGAACGAGTAGAAGTATGATAGACTCAAGATCCCATGAGGAACGAAAAGAACGTTTTCTTGCCATGGATTCACCATTCCGATTTCCGTTCATGGTTTTCCAGGTGGATATGAATTGCGTCAAACTGAGTAGAGACGGGCTGTGGCAATAGATATTCAGAGCTTCTTGGCCTTGTGACATCAGACGGTCGATTGACGTTTTTATTCATCTTCCAACGCCAAAACCACAAAGCTCTTTTTCTTGTCAGCATTCATCGGCGGAACCTATGCACTTTTCCTTTGCTTCCCCTGTGCTCTTGGGATTCGGTAGAGGAATGAGACGGTGCCTTCTTTCGGTTTACTCATGGAGATAGTGGAATTGGAGGATGTCGGATAAAGGTCAGGAGTAGGCTATGTTCAAATGCACGTTTCTCAAAATTGACATTCACGTCACGAACACGGACTGCCACTTGCGACAGGACAAAGGAATGGAAGGAGAAGAGACTCGGTTCCCGTAGCCTGCAGGGAGAGAGACGCGAGCGTTGTGTGGAAACTTGTCTCCACGGATTCTCGCTGCGTTCTCCAGGGCCACTTGTGAACCCGGAACCAATACCTTAGCGAGTGCGGGGCTGGGAGGGTGGTGTTCAGCCCCCCCCCCCCCCCCCAAGGAGTTTGGTTCAAGCAACCCCAACTATGGTCTAATTGCATTCGTCACCCCTCCCCCCTCCTTCACCAGACGAGGAGAAGTAAGCCCACCTTCCGTTCCACTGAGCGAAACCCTGACTACGCCACAATGTTCGATCGTCGACCGAATATTGCTGTCCCGAGACGCGAATCGTGTTGGGCTGATCTGGCAGGCCCGTAACCCGCTTAGGGCTGCAAATTTGACAAGTTCAGCGGCCAATTTCACGGAATATAACAGTTCTACAAGTAAAAATTACTTGATAGGTTCTTGTCTTCTTGTTCAACTTTTCCAACTCGTCCCGCTGACCCTTCGCGCAACTCCGCCACGACCCTTGTAATTACTTGTAACTTGTATAACTTCCTAATTCCGTGTAACACCCCCCAAGTCCCTGGTGAAGTTTTTGCCCCTTGGTGTATCGGAGGGACGCCTCATAGATCCACGCAGAAACGCATTCTTGTGGGTGTAGGGTAGCGAAGTGTGCCAGTGGCACGGGAAACCGTGCAAGCCCGTTATATCGCGCAATTTGAAACTCATGAAAATGCCCGATACACCAAATAAAAGAACTCCTTCTTAGGGATGGGTTGTGTAAACTCAACGTCCGGTCATCCCTCATATACGAGGGTTGTTCAAAAAGGTTTGACCAAATAGTCATTTGCAAACAACAATACAATTACACTTATTCCACATTATCACCGCCGAAGTAAATGCACTCTTGCTAGGGTTTCTCCCGTGTACGAATCCCTTGCAACAAAAATGTGAGTAGTGCGATCTGTCACCAAGCGCTGAACGGCTTGCACAGATTCTGTTGTGGTGCTGGTTGTAGGTCTTCTCGGTGTTCATTATCTTGGAGACTGCTCCTGCCATGCAGAAATTAATGATGCCTCCTCTCCATTGCGCGCCGTGAGGAGGCCTCATCAGAGTATACAGCTTCCAATTAGTTAAGCTCAGTTATGGTGCCTTTTAATCATGGAACCTTCTGCATTTGAAAGACATTCGTCGAACATTAAGGATATTTTCCTCAAGCATATCATCAGTATCCATCTGACATCGGCTGAAAGAATAAAGGGTCACATAATCGAAGATAGATGGCGCCAGAGTAGTCGCTATAGCAGGTCAATTCCTGATACAGCTTGAATTAGTCCACAATACTTTCCACAATGTAACAAATCCGTCATTAGAGGTGATCCAATCCAAGTAGTCTCCAGAGAAGTCAGGCTCGAGCGAAAGAGAGAGAATGGTTCAATTTCTGAAGTGACATCAAGGGAAAAATTTTCGGCGTTCATAATCATATCTCTGATTTAAAAAAATGGATTTCAGTGAAGGGAATGTCTGATATCTGAATATAGAAAAACGGCAGATAGGATGAAAAATTCATGTTGTAAGACTGAATTTCCCCACGCTTCTTCGTCCGACTATCACAGCCAGTGTAAGACAGCACCTTCAATCCTACTAATCGGCCACATTTGGCTTTTAACCACAGTAACGTGAGTAGGGCTCTACTTAGACCGAATGCTATTTAAGTGATGAGAAGAACGTATCAAAAACGTTAGCTGCATATCGGATGAATCCAAAAAAGTAAAGTATTCTTAAAGTTCAGGGAACAAATATATGGAACTGTTTTTCATTGCTTTGAATTTTTAACTTTTAAGCAGTCGATGAAACGCTCCCAAGGACGTTAATGGAACGCTGGCAATAACTAGAATGAATTGAACACGTTCGGATGCAGCAAGGGTAGTAGTCTCTGAACATCATGGTGACTACTTCCACGACAACAGAGCACTTCGTTTCCCCCGGTTTGCAGCAGGTTCACCTGCCACTAGTTTTAAGTAATATTGGCATATCATTTTTATTTTTCTATAACCTTTTCCTTTCACACATCCCGAACCCGTGCATTATAGGGGCACTTTAAGATTGGAGCTTCATTTTCGGCGCCACGCTGTACATATGGGGCGCTTGAAATATTATTTTTGTTCCAGAGAACCTGACAACCGAGGAAAACTGGAACTTGGCATAGAAATATGTAGCTGATTGGTGGGCCATGCAAAAAGGAGGACCTCACACTACCACACATAGCTCATAAGCGTCATATAAGCGTCACATAGGCATCGAATAACGTAAAGCCCACGCATTCGCAGTTCCTTTCTCATTTGTTCATGAAAATATTAAAATATACTTCCTTTCCAACAGAAATTCGTGCCGCAGTAATGTGGATCCATCACCTGTGAAGACGGACTACGAAAGATAACCACATAAGATAACCAGATAAGCACAGGCTTCTAGCCCTACTCCGACTGGCAATCCTATGATGAATCCATTGTTGATTGTCCTCTACCTTTTCTTAGCCTATATTGTGTCTGGGATAAGGGGGCAGTCATCATGCCCCACCCAAGACATCTCACCCTGCAATTGCACTGAAAATTCAAATCAAGGTGCGACAGTGGATTGTTCAAGTGCCAGATCTGGTGCTGAGATTTCCTCAGCATTGTCGAAGATCTCATTGCCTTCTTCTCAACTCTGGTGAGCAAAATTGTTTTCCATATTCTCAAATGCTTTCAATTATCTTCATTCCCTCCCACCTCAACAACTGTCACCCTTGCAATGAAGGGACACTTCGCTCTCCATCTCCACCCTAAACGTAGTTCTTGTTCCATCACGCGTGGGAGCGGAAAAATCACAAATCGTTAGGATTCGGATTCCAAAGAGTGACCAAAGGATACCCATATCACAGAGATTTAATTATATCGCATATCAATGATACGTGTATTTCAAACACATAGTTTTGTATTCCTTATGATTTTTTATGCAATGGAGAAAAATAATGTATCTAATTTCGTCAAAAAAGGCCAGCAGATGATGGCACCACTCGCAAATACGAAAATGCAACACGCCTCGGAGCTTTGAATTGAATGTTGGTAGGGATATTTCCAGGCTCGATGAAACGATCGAATGGACCAGTTTAAAAATATTTTTAAAGCAAAAACTAATTGTAATTTCCAATTGTTGGAAAACTCTGGCACTAGAAAAATGATATATGAAAAACTTGAATGCTGTCTCTATGACAGCATAGACAGTGAATGTCGTTACTTCTTTGCACACCCTTGTAGGTCGTTATGAATGACATCTTGCAAATCTTAGTGCGAGATTTCCAAGGAAGCCATCCGTGGAGAGTCGCAAAGCAGAACTAGAATCAGTTGTGCACTCAAATACATTATTCTGCCAACTCAAGATGGAAATCAGGACATTGACAAGTCATAAGTTTCATGAGGAATCGGGATTAATCCTACCGGACCGAATATAACATAGATAGGGGAGGGTGGGCTTCATGAAGAAAGCAACAAAAAAAACGACTTCATGGGTCTTTTTTGTGGCTCTGGAACTTAAGCATTTTACTTTCTCTCTGCAGGAATGGAAAGCCCCGTGTGTGAATACTTAAAGCACCTGCACAATCGCGTGTTTTAAATGTGTTAATCTACAAGTGTCGGACGTTTAAGTCGTACTTTAAAATGGGGCACCGAGGGTCATTGTCCGGGGTACGATGGGTCATTCCCTTATTTATCGATAAAATGAACATATGATGAACCAAAGTCATAGCACAGAGAAGTCTTCGCATCACAGGAAGAGAAGCTCTTGAATGCTGATACACCCCAACAAAGACATCTTTTTTAATTGAAAAGTTAAAAACGTTTGATCGGAAAATAAAACACGATTGCTTTTCACATCCAAGTATATAATATCTGTTTTTGTGAACCCTACAGAGTCTTCTGCTTCTATTTACTCTGTATTAGATCGGATAAATACTAAAAGGTAAATCCTGATCTGTATTGAAAAATAACAGAGAACATTTGGCGCACTGAGTTATGACCCAATGTGCCAAAATAGAGTGGCCCATCGTGCCTCTACAAGAGCCATTGAAATGAAATCAACATTCTAACCAAAGTAAGTTGAAGTTGTACCTCATGCGCGCAGGCATTGTACGACTGATCTCCCGAATCCAATTCTGGTAATAATCAAGATTATCGATCAAATGGAATAATTAGCAAAAATCGAGACGTCACTGCGAGCAAAAGTCAAAATACCACGTAGTATCCTCTACAGAAAAAATTCCGAACCATTTCCACTTTTGGTGGGGAACGCTCTTTTTTCAACTAAACTTTTCTGACACATAAGCTGGAAGATGTGTAGCATATGACCTAACGAAAGACAGAGCTGGGAAAGCTATAAGCGACCTGACCCATGGTGCCCAACTCTCCCCCAATATCCCCTTGTGCATGATTTAGCAAACTATACCTTTCCTCGCAAGATCATCATGAACATCATCCATCATACTTTTGCACATTTCAGGGTGTTCCTCATTCAAGACAATGCAGCAGTATTGGAGCTAAAAGAAGGAACCTTTCAAAGGCTTTCATTCCACTCAATAAAGATTCTCAGAAGTTCCATAAAGAGTTTCCATCCATCAGCCTTATCACCTTTGCAACATCAGCTCGAGAGTTTGGAAATTTCTCTTAGTCGGCTGGATGAATTTTCCTTTCATAACCTTTCGGAACTCCACCGCTTGAAAGAACTCCGGCTCCACAACAATTTGTTGACCTCTGTAGCCGCCTTCAAGAGCGACAGCCTAGAAATACTCAGTCTACAAAACAATCAGATCACGAGTGTGGAGTTCGATGGACGGACCACTCCCAGATTGAGAGAACTCCACCTCAACAACAATTTCTTGACCTTCGTACCGGCCTTCAGGAGTGATAGTCTAGAAATACTCTTTCTTCACACCAATAAGATCACGAGTGTGGAGTTCGATGGATGGGCAACTCCGAATTTGAGGGAATTCGACATTGGTGAGCATGAAATATCTGGTATTGTAATTTCCTTGTAACCATTCATTTTTCCAGGGTTTTGGAACGTTCTATTAATATTTCCTGCGAATAATCACCACCGCTGTCAGCACAAATTAGGGATGGAAGTGACATGTAGTAACCGATTCTTTTTCCGAAGCCCCCTTCGCAACGGGAATCACACAAGCATTACTGCATAATAAATAAACATGTTTGCAGCACCCTTCCATAATATTTGGTTTCTCGAGCCGAGCGTTTCCCGGCTTGAAGTTAATGGAGTTTTCTAATCTCACTGGCGACATTGTAATACGCCAAACTGACTTTAATGGTACACTTTTAGACAATTCTGAGCGTTCATAGAATGAAAACTGAGAACTATGTGAGCAGTTTCAAACGTACTCTCTTATTACTCAAAAAAGCTCCTTCATCACTGGTATTGAAGTAAACACCTTGAAGTTCTTCGCCAGGTCACAAGATGGAGGTAACGGGTCTCGCATTTCGCGCAGTAAACAAAAGCTCCTTTCCCTCTTACCCAGGAGTCGTCCCTCCCAGGATTGTTTAGTACCTAGCCTTATGTCTCGCCTAGTATAATTACAGGAATCAATAAACACTACACTTCATCATTTGTTATCCACATATTCAAGACAGATTCATGAAATCCCGGCAGTAAACAATCTCACAGTCCTGATGAAAATCCTTTTGAAATCCGCGTCGGTGATCTAAAATTCGAAGTGTCCGCGCTGAGGATGCGATCAAATTCAGCAAAGTTTTGATCAAAGACATCCCATACAAGAAAGAGTGCGATGGCTCCAGGCCTTCTCCTTGTAGTCTCTTACTCGAGCAAGAAGAGTTGTAGTCAATGATTCATTAAGATAGAATGTGTTTAATTTGCACAAACGAACACGAACCCCGCCAATTCCTATCGTAGAATTAAAAAGCCACATCTCAATTTAAGCTTGACAGTGAATGGCCAAAAGACACTTTGCCCTTATTTGGTTTTATTTCTAGCATGTACACGGCGAACAAAAATGCCAAGTAAATTCATGTGTTAATTTTTCATTTTTATTTTCATAAAAATAAAAATAAACTCTCTCCATTCTCTCATTCCAAGCAGAAATCATACATCTGAAACAAAAAAGAAACAATTAACATGACTTTACTGGGTATTCTATACATCACACTGTATATACGAATCTGGTCTTGCTTCTTTCCAACATCTCACTAAAATGATTTTGCTTTCCATTCAGGTAACAATCCCTTGTTGAAGTTTCCATCTGCAATAGTCAATGGCATGAAGAAACTGGAAAAGTTGCAGGGCTATGGAGCAAACCTAAGTCCCACCCTTTCAAGCGGTTTCCTGGAATTCCAGAGCAGCGCCTTGAAATTGGTAGACCTCCGGAACAACAGCATCTTCAGACTGGAGCCAGGAGCTATTGCAGGTATGATTCCCCATCAGAATCGATAACCGTGGGTTATAGAAGCTATCGCATCATCAATGTCATGAATTTTCTTGAAAAGATTCTGTCTATGAATGGCATTGCGCAATGCTTCTAATACAGATCTACCCCCTGGGTGACATTGATTGCATCGAAGTTCATCAAAAGAGGGGGAAAAACTTCATTTTCCTTGGAAATTCCTCCAAAGACAAGTGCGTTAGCGATGGGCTACATGAGGGAGAAGATTAATGACCTTACCAGCATTTGTCATCAAATAAGGCGACATTGAATGACTAAATGGAATTTTTTTGTTCACTCCGCCATGGAAGCAAATTTGTCGATTGAGATAGGCATTCATGATTTTTATCTCACCGTTACTGCTGTAATCCTAATGTCATCGTTAAGCATTGGGCTTTTGAGAACTTATGCATTCCAAATACTTCCCCCCAATGCTCCTGATGCTGAAACTAACGTAATGTAGAGATAAGAATTTCGGAAGATTTGCCACTTTATTTAAAAGATGCAAACGTTGAATGCATAAATTTATGGTGCACTTAAAGCCACTAGATTTTCCCATAATGACGTGCTCTGAAGCTCCGATGTTTGAGGACTTGTTGAACCTTTGGAAAAAAGAGGATCATTACTTCACTGCAAGAAGGGCATTTGAGCCCTTCTTCAAGTTCTACATGAGAAAAAAAAAATTTCGAAGTGCGATCACCTCGAATGCCCTTCTCAGTATCTCATGATTGCTAAACGGTGAATGACAAGTAAATGTCCTCTTGGCAGGAAATATAGCTTGCTAAACTGAACTCAGTGATGAAAACTCAGTTTTTTATGACAATATGCCCTTTGCTGGGTCAGGTCCCAATATACCCTTCGCCAAGAAAAGCACGAACGAGGAGTTGAGTAATCTTGATGAAATTATTGCACTTGCTTATACCAGCCCACTATGAAATTTATTAGAATTTCAAGAATGTGGGATAAATCTTACATACCAATTACTCCAATTTCAATAGTTGCAATGGAGTCACACTAATCGCCCAAAACTATAACCGAAATGGTTTTTGCCAACGTAATGAAGTAGAGAAATTCCTAAAGATGCCCAGAAAAATCAAGTGAAGTTTCGAGATTGTGAGATTACGCAATTCGGAGAAAACCTGCAAAATGCTGAAAGAAATGGGGAGAAAGGCGGCGCCATTAAAGACGCCAGTTCCCTTTTCTCCCTTCCCTCCCAAACCACTTCCCTATAGGTCCGTAGTTCGTTGTGTAACTGCGAGGCAGTGCCAAGATGAGGTCTCTGGAAGCAATTTTAACATGTAGTTGTGATATTTCGTCCACGGAGAGTAGTTGTGATGCATGCATCAGTTTCATGCATCAGGAGGCTGATGCCTCCACCAAGTTGATGTATTGTTAGCACCCCATTTACCTTACATCGAAGAAACACGCAAATAGCTTGTACCTAATTGTACCTAAATACCTAATTTTGAAATGTCCCCTCAGGGCAGAATATGGGAGGTAAGTATTTCAAGATACTTGAAATTGACACGTTTTTCACGCTGAGAAAAAGAGGAGCATAGATTCGAATTTTGGTACATATGAAATCATCGGAGTAATGATTTCGGTAATTAAAAAGTATCGGTTACATCCTTCCATGGTACATAATTCGACAGGGACGTACTTTAAATAACTTTATGGCAATTCCAAAATGAATTAATGAATTAATTCATATCCCAGATCTAGGAGCGTCGAAGGCGAGACCAAAGTATCTAATGTATATAGACGATCGTGACTGACTGACTGACGCTAATTCTAACCATGTTCTAGAAGTGTTAGAAGTCTGAAACTTGGTACACATGTACCTTTTGGGATGCAGAGTTCAGAAGAAATCCAACTTTGGAGGTACATGCCCTGGGGGTACACATTTTGGGGGGAAACTTTTTTCTTAAATACACTTAATGTTCACAAAATTAGAGATACCTCACTAGTAGCTTGTTGGACCACCTTTGGCCCTCAAAACAGCATCAATTCGTCGTGGCATGGATTCCACGAGGTGCTGGAAACGTTCTGCAGGTATCCCGGCCCATGCTGCTAGCACGGCGTCACTCAGTTGCCGCTTGTTTGATGGCAGTACAGGCAAGCCCCGCACAGCCCGTTCCACCTCATCCCAAAGATGTTCTATTGGATTGAGATCAGGGGACTGTGAGGGCCACTGGAGCAAGGTAAACTCCTGGGCATGTTCCTCGAACCAATCCATGACGATACGGCCCTTGTGGCACGGTCCATCGTCCTGCTGAAAGTATCCATCTGCTAAAGGGAAAACGGTGGTCATAAAGGGATGGACCTGATCGGCAACGATGTTCAGGTATGCCGTACTGTCCTGACGACCTTCCAGGGGCATGAGTGGACCTAGGGTTTGCCAACAGAACACANAGAAAAAAAATTTCTTTAAAGCCCATTAGACCACTTTTTTCAGTCCCATTTTCCTCATTTTTTTCATCCAGAGGCAGAAAATTTAAACTACTTTCAGAAGTACCTATTTGATGTCTGAATAGAGGAAAAATCCTAATTTTGAAATATGTATCCATAGCGTCGATTATTGGAGGGAAGTATTTCAAAATGTATTCTCCACCCTTAGAAAAAGGGACACAAGGAAATATTTCAGGTTAGGCACACATATAATCATAGAGGTAATGATTTTTATCAAAATCAAAACTTTTGACTCCATATGTCACGTATTTCAATTGGGATGTACTTCAAATACGTGTTTGACATTTCGAAAAGAATAAATGAATTAATCACTATCCAAGGTAATGGAGCGCCGAAGGCGCGACCATAGCGAGTTTCTTTGCCCGAAGGGCAAACAAACTCGCTAGTTACAAATATAGATATTGTGAATAGATAATTTGTATCCCAGATAAAAACAATCGCACTGGCATCCAAATTTACCAAAACCTCGTGTGGCAACATTTCATTTGTTCCAAATTCGTCCTGTGTGCCTCAGTTTAAAACTGTTGGTGTCATTTGAAACCTGGTGGCGATAACTATTGCGTCAAAAAGGTCTACCATTTTCATGTCACAGGGCCTGATTTCAACGATAAGACTGTGTGCTCACAACCAACAATGAGAGCATGAGGCATTGTAGGCAACGGATGTTGTTGCTATGGTAACTGCTGGTAATGACCATGTCATAGTTTATCGCGTTACCTGTCCAATCGTCAGTTTATGATAGTGCTTCACGTATGTTTCCAGCATTTACTTGGTGATCCAATATTATTATTTTATATATTTTGGCTTGATCAAAATGCCCCGAAAATTTTGGAACCTTAAACTATTCAACGTCTGGATCGACTGAGTGTAAGAGAAGTTCTGGAGAAAAGAAGTTCTGGAGTCACAGTCAGTGGATAAAAATGCATGACGAAGTTCGCAAAACGCTCCCACACAGGCTGCTTCCAGAAACAGTGAAACTGAAGAAGAAAGAGCAGAAATGTTTTGATTCTATTTATTTTAGCCCGTGCTCCCACGGGCTTTTACGCTAGTATATCATGATGAAGTCATGTGAAAACCAATTTTCAATGGCTTTCTTTTCCTTCTATCCTCCTCCCTACCTCTCCTCTACGGGACTCACTACCATTATGCATAATCCTAAAGAACAGACTGCATTTTGGTCACGCCAAGGCCAACCGTTTTATCTATAAAAAAAAAATCCGAACTCACGACCAACGAGGTTAGTTAGGCGTATACCGGCAAATCCGTGGTCTTGAGACATTTCGTCGAGGATGTATAACGTTAGGCCAACCACAGGCCTATTCATAATTTCACGAACCATTTCTGAGAGTACCTGTAACGTTAGACCAATTTGATACCTGTTTCGCGTTTCATGACCCATTGACGTTGAACGTTACAAATATATGGAATTCCCCGAGCAATCTCGAATAGGTCTGAGGAGGGAATATCTCCAAGAAGCATGGAACACACGGTACACGGGTAGGCCAATTAAGTCCCTAAAGGCCCACTGTAGTATAGAGTTATAGGGTGGTGTAGCTAGTTAGTAACGACTGGTTGCGAAGGAAGAGTCGATGTGAGTACTTGAGTTGTGCTTTTACAGCGGATCATTAAAAACTACAGGATCCTCACGTCGATACGACGGTTGAAGTCTTGAATCTGTAGTAATTTCGGCCCGGCATTAACTTACTAGGGAAAGGTACCGGAGCAAGTTCTCTGAGCCTAATTGAACGACAGTTTATTTCAATTTTTATGGCGAAATGGTGCATCACAGAGAAACAAAAAACCCACTTTACGTCATCTACGAGTCAATATCTCTCTCATGCTTGGTCTTCAAGGAGGCTTTTTGGGACTCCCCACCGATGGGTCCCCCCTCTTTTTTTATGGCCTTAGTTTAAGTGTTGCTCTAAGTCACAAGAGGTGTTGGGACCCCTCTACCTTGAATTTTAAACGGCCTCGCTATTGGTGGTAAGAGAAGAAGCGAGCTAAATTTCGTTCCTTTTGATGCTCATACCCAGAAAAAAGTTCCAGCTAGAAACAACAAGCATTCCATCAATGAATGAGTGTCACTTCCCGCAAGAACTGCAGTAATTCCAACTAGAACTAGTCGTAAATCGGGATGCCATTTCCAGCTGGAATGAACCAACAGGATCCATTTGGAGCCTATGTTGTATTCTGCTGGATTTCTGCTTTTCCTGTAGGAAAATGCCAACCTTCTAATTCCCGATTGGAACCAGTTACGTTTCCTGCTTGACTAGGTGGACGGCCTTTTTAGGTAGTGTTTGACCAATTTTGGCCATTATAAAGGTCGGACTTGGAAAACGACCCACATAGTGTGCGTTGGAGAGCGTGAATGACTAGAAGCTCCATCTTAAGTTTATGATGTAATGAAATTGGTACTGCCAAATTTACTCGCGTACGTGCGGAATTTAAAAACATATTGCACTACTGCCTGCAGCAAAGGGGTTCCCATTTTGTGCTTTTGACTTTTACCTCGTCTTTTGTGTCGAAAGCAGGAAACTTGCCTTATTTACTAAAGCCACTGGAGTATTTTATGGAATCACTCAAGGTCTATTTCATGACTGAAGGAAAACACGAGGGTGGACCTGCGTACAAATAATGACCAACGATCTTCTCTCATCTCCTGTATCCATCTTGTACCAATAAAGCGTTCATTTCTCCGTATCGTCACCTTTATTGTAGCACCTACCCTGAAAAGCATGTCATCATAGATAAAAAAAAATATTTAACTCCTTAGCTGGAAAGTTTTCACCAATGCACTGTTCACGTGAGGTCAGACGTCAAAAAGCGTCTTACCTAGTTATATATGTACATAAAAAATGCATCTGTTTTCGATCCAACGTTGTAAAAGGAAAAAAAAAACTAAGAAGGGTATTAGAGTCTTGTCTGTTCGAACTAGGACTGCACTTCCACAAAATAGCCATGACACCAGGAAGGGCCATTTTAGTTGGGTTCGCTGTAGGTTGGCTTGTTCGTCTCTGGTAAGCTCCGCTTTCCCCAGCTGCGTCGTATGTTTTACACAGCACGCGCGAACCAATGCTAAACATAATCAATCGCGTCTCCCCCTCCCCCCCTTACCAGTCCTTCCATTTCAGGTATTTAATTTATTTCCGGCATATTGAAATGCGCCTCCAAGTGACGGAAACTTTACTGCTGATCTGTTTAAGTTATGTGCAAAACTCTCAGAAGCGCATGCCGCGCAGGAACTTGCCTGCTCATAATTTATTTTTAATCGTGCCAGTCTGTCATTTTAAGGATGATTATGTGCCTCGTACGTTTAGCGTTGCCCGCTGACGTTAATGTTGTCGTGTACAACGCGTCATATTACAAAATGTGTTACGACACAGTTGTAAGTTAATTAGTCACAGAATAAGTAGGAAGCACGCGACGGTCGAAAGTATACTCCATTACTTGATCCATCCAGAAAGAACCTCTCTTAGACTCTCGCACTCCCTTTCAGGCACAAATCAGTCATGTTTTAAGCAGAAAGGGAAATCGGCGTTCCCACACTTCCTGCCAGACAAATAAGCCACATCCAATTGGGAAAGACGACCAAAAATAATAAACTATGCAAATGTTTTAATGAGCAATGATGTCCATGAATCCGATACCGGTAGAATGCAGTGAATTTCCCTTTGATTGCTGCTATCAATAAAAAAAAAGTGGAACAGGTAATGAAAACTTCACGTTTTTTGGTCCTTTAAGATAATGACAGAAATAGAGAGATGCGGCTCGATTATACATTTGTAGTAGCCATTTTAAAAAATACATGTGCTTCTAAAATTGCTTTCAGATTTTTTTTTCAAGTAATTCTCAGATATTCTGGAAGTTTTTCAAGTTTGTTGAGCTGCATAGAAAATTTGAAATCTGTGGGGTTTTTTTATTTGTGGGGTCTTTCGCACATTTCTAACCATCACGGTCCTGGGACACACATCACTAGATCCTCTTCCACTGATTTACAGATCATACATGATTCAATTTTCACAAACAAGTAGACGTTTTGGAAATTTCTGAATATGCCAAAATTGGGAAATAGCTTCATTCATACATTCATACATTACCAAATTCAAATACTCTCATAAGACGTGTCAAGTCGGATATTGCTTTGGCTATGTATGGTTCCATATGAGGATTTTGAGAGTTGAAATTGAAATAATTTGCTAAATGTAGCATTCTTGAATCTCCGGCAATCTTCTGGCTATACACTGGTAAAATACCAATAATTACGGGTAATTTTACTACCCAAACTCAAAATAAGCCCAGGAGTCTTAAGCTACTTTTTCACATAGCCCTATTAATTTACATTCCAGGTCTAACACCCGAGACGACTGTTCATCTCAACGAAAACAAAATCAGTGTGGTGTCCGAAGGGAGCTTCCGCCCGATCTTGGACATCCTCTCTATGGGAAATGGAATCCTTGATTTAAGAGGTGAGTTTCACCGTTTCTCATTCGAGCACAACCTATCAAATATCTTTCATAATTCCTTCGTCATCATGTTTTTCTCTCTCTCTCTCTTGTGACTTTATTCCAGACAATCCCATCCAGTGTGACTGTGAAATGTCATGGCTAGTGCACGGACAGAAATACCTAAGGAGCGTTTCTGGGAAGTGCCACAATGGAACGGAATTCAAGGACTTGGATTCGGGTTCCTTAAATCCTTGTCCTCGTGAATGTCCCTACCAGTGCATCAACAGTGCATGGTTATCTCTCTGTACGTCGGAGACTGTATCTCATTCACATGTGCACAACTGTCGACCTGGAGAACTGTGCTGCCAGCCATTCATCCCAAAAGCCACTACAATCACATCTTCATCAGTACCAGATTTCCTCATTGGTATGTACAGCAATTTTGAAAGTGGGCCATATCATCCCAGCAAAACAGAGAACTGAATGTCCAGCAGAACATTCATTCATATTAGATCCTGGAATCCACAAGATTCACATGACAGAAAACGAACACGATGCAATGAAATAACACATTCACAAAGCAGCAAGCAGAATTTTAAACGTATTCCTAGTTGTGTAAGGGGTACCGGAAAGTAATGTCGTTTTTTGTAACCTAAATATAAACGTTATTTTTGTCGTGTTTTCCTTTGTTTTTAAATGAATTTCATTAATAGGTCTAAAGAACTCTTCTTTGCCATACATATTTCGATGACAAAACTTTGTTCAAAATTGCCAGCAAAAATGTCTGGCCACATTCCTGAAGAGATCCCTATACGACATTGTATGCTATGAGTTTCGTAAGGGAAGTAAGGCAACGGAGGCCAAGAACATTTGTGGTGTTGATGGAGATGTATTGGATGTCGGCAAATGCCAGCGTTGGTTCAGAAAATTCCGGTCAGGCGATCTTGACCTCTCGGATGACCACCGTTCGGGACGATCGGTGAAGCTGGACAACGATCTCCTGAGGTCGGAGATTGAGGCAGATCCCCGTCAAACCATCCAACAACTAGAAGAAAAACTCAATTCCTCGTGCTTCATTGTTCAAGAACACCTTCAACAGGTCGGTAAGGTTAATAGACAAGGCGTTTGGGTTCCCCACCAAATCTCAGCTGAAAACAAAACCCAGCGCACAATTTGCAATTCATCGATGACGAGACAAGAAAGCGAACCATTTCTTCATCGAATTGTTACTGGAGATGAGAAATGGGTTCTTTGTGTCAACGCCAAGTGGATGAACCATTGGCTATCCCTTGGCCAGCAGCCGGTTCCGACAGCAAAACCAGGCTTACAACCACAGAAAGTCCTGTTGAGCGTTTGGTGGGACGGTGTCGGTATAATACATTTTTAGGTATTGGAGACAGGTCAGACCATTACTGCAGACCTCTATTGTCAATAATTGAACCGTTTGCACCGGGCTCTGATTGAGAAACGTCCAGCACTGGTCAACATAAAAGAGGTAATTCTGCAGCACAACGAGAGACCACATTCTGCAAAAAATTAACCAACAGAAGGTCAAAGTTTTGGGTTAGGAAGTCCTTCCTGACCCCCATACTCACTCCACATTGCCCCATCAGATAATCATTTATTCCGATCTCTGCAGCAGTTTCTTGGTGACAAGACTTTCAGAAATATTGATGTTATCAAAACGTCTCTCTCGGAATTCTTTGCCTAATAACAAGCCTCCTTCTATGAACAGGGAATTGAAATTTTGATTTTAAAAAATATGGGAAATTGTCCTTGATAATGATAGGGATTACATAATTGATTTAAACTAAAAAATATTATTCTAAGAACAAATGTTTGTGATTAATAGGAAAAATTCATTACTTTCCAGTCCCCTGATATTTTGCACCTTCCGCTTTTATCGATATTGCCATGACCGCAGTTCTGGCCATTTTTTCCGCCTACAGGTAATGCAACCGGATGTGGACAATTAAGCACACCGACACATGGATCTATTCGTATTCAATCTTGCCCGACAAATTCAGAAATGATTGCAGACGGAAAGGAAAGAAACTGCCTTCAAGATGGGAAATATGAATTCGGGAGTGTTGTTAGATACACGTGCAATCAATACTACATTCTAAGGGGACCCAAGATTCGCAGATGCACGCAGGATGGAGAATGGACAGGAAACTCACCGTTTTGTGAGCCAGGTCGGTTTTTCAATCAACCTTTTCCCTGTTTAGCTGATACATGTATTTCATTTTGGGAAATGTACTTCGGTATTATCCTGTATCTAGTGTGCGGGAGAAAGAATTATCAAGTGACATTGTCCAAAGGAGGAAAGCCATCACAGATAGGAAAATGGCCATGGCAAGCGGCCATTTACGACGTTAAGAAACAGGATGTCGTTTGTGGAGGGGCACTCATTCAAGAGCAATGGGTGCTCACAGCAGCCCATTGTGTCACTATTCAGGGTACCGATAGACCTCGGGCCCAAAAAGACATAATGGTTTACCTTGGGAAACACCATAGAGCTAATATGGAGGACGATGACTACGTGCAGATCAGACAGGTTCAGTAAACAAGAAATTATTGTACTTTCATTCATTCATTTTCGGATAATGGAAACTGCCGCAATTGCTTTATAGGTGTCTCACATATTCCACCATAAGGATTACAGCATACAAAACTATGACTCAGATATTGCTCTACTGAAATTAACAATGCCTTCCGTGCTGACTGAGCGAGTGCAGTTGATATGTCTCCCAACCAAATTCGAAATTTCTGACGAAAATCTCCAGGATGGAGTGGAAGGANACAAAACTATGACTCAGATATTGCTCTACTGAAATTAACAATGCCTTCCGTGCTGACTGAGCGAGTGCAGTTGATATGTCTCCCAACCAAATTCGAAATTTCTGACGAAAATCTCCAGGATGGAGTGGAAGGATGGGTAAAGTTGGAAATGTTCCTTCACCCTTAAATACAAAGGCTATCATTTTTCATCACAGGCTTTTTGACTGCTAATTGCTCAAGGTTGCCGGTTGGGGCTATGACGGTTCGGATCTTCTCACTGCTGTCCTGACAGAGGTTCAGCTCCCGGTGATATCTAATCGCTTGTGTCGTCGGGACACCGCACTTTTCACAGGGGGCTTCAGCACCACTCGTACCCTCACCTCTAACATGTTCTGCGCTGGTCATTCTAGAAGCACTTCTCCTCAAGGTATGCATGATCTCCATTGCAGCGATGTATTATTTTCCATCCTTGCCAAATCGCGTCTAGAGGCAATAGCATTGATCGTGCCCTGTGGGCTTGCATTATTATAAAATGTTTCATGATGGTAAACATTTATTCATGTTTTGGGCTTCCTTTGCTTAGTTTAGGAATGAAATATTCAGAGACATGTATGGAACATGACCATTTTAATGGTATTGTCATCACTTGGCGACATTTTTAGATGCTCACGAACAACGTCTTATGCGTAGGATCTTGATTATGTACTTAAATATCGCTCTTTCTTTGTTCTCCCAAATGCAGGGAAAACATTAGTTTCATCATTTAAAGACCATGCCATATTGTTCTCATTTTCTCTACATTCAGTCTAGTCGATCTCATGCAGGTCCGGGGGCAGTTTTCTTCCACATACGCTCAAGTTTTCTTTGTCATTTCTTCTCATTAATTCTTAAGGAAAGTCCAGAGGTATTGCTTTGAACCAGGAAATCGAAGTTCAAATGCTCAAATTGTTAAGCATCTTCATACAATGAATTTTTCTCATTTGGGTGAACAAGACCTTAAAGGAATTACAGGGTGAGTCAAAAGTCACTGAGCGACTTTGAACAGCTATAAATCAGTAAGGAATGCATTAATTCGCAGTTTCTTGTACAGGAAAGACCCTGCGTTAATTGACAATAAAAAATGGATGTTTGAATGAAATGTCAATAATAATTGGAACGAGCCTGCAAAAAACTAAAGGCAACATATTTCAACATCAACATAANCCTGGACCCCCTTTTCTGCCTGGCTTTTCACATTAGTCTCGATTTTCCTGTCGAGGTACTCGCGTGGGTGCTGAGCCATGGCTGTTCAAGGGCTAGCCCTTCTATCAGTGATTGTCCATCTTATTATATATATATATATATATATATATATATATATATATATGCAAATAATAATAACAACAAAATGAATAAACAAATTTTAAATGATAAAAAATCAAACAAATTAACAAATAACGTTACCCATTTGTTAATTATTACTCCCTCCCTCATTTGCAAAAAACTGTTGGCAATTTAATGCCTCCTTTGCCGAGTTATAACTGTTTAAAGTCGTTCAGGGACCTATAACTCAGCCTGTATGAATCAAGATTTCTCCTCCGCTTCCGAAAAATGAGGAAGAATTCCAATCAGCACAGAAGTAGTCCCTGCATGGCATGGCAAAGTCTGCATTAGAAGAAATGCTTCTATTTTACAATCGACCAATTCGTGAAAATAAAAGTGCTAACAGGACATTAAAACCTTAACAAATATTACACTGCAAAACTCCTAAATTTTTATTCCACGATTTTTTTAATTTGCAAGGAAGGGATTGGTGCAGACCTTAGGTCTTTTGATACAATCATGTAATAATTATGCTGCCAAATGAATTAATGCAGAATATTTATATATCAATGCGCGCCGCTCCTGATATTATATGGAAAAAATGAGAGGTAAAAAGGGATTCTAATGAAATTAATTGATTTTGGTTTACCTTATATTTAAAAAAATTTCTAGTGATACTTCAATATTATATCACATTTGTGAAGGATGAACGAGACATCGAAAATGATGATGTGCGTTACCATTCAGATTACCGAACGGTGTGTCCTGGGGACTCGGGAAGTCCTATAGTCTTCCTCTCCAATGCCTCACAGGACAGTTATTGGACGGTGGAAGGAATCGTGAGTCACTTTTTCCAGAAAGAGACTTGTTCTCTGAGGCGCCCTGGACAGTATGGAGTTTTCACCAGAGTTAATAGGTGAGAACTGCTCAAACCCATTCAATTCTGTTATCCATGCTCCTCTTTTCCGTTCTTTTGAAACACGATGGTCACCGGAAACTTTTCTCGTTCTCCCCTCCATAGGTTCACCCGATGGATCGAGGAGGTTTTTGAAAACTCCTGATGAGGGAGAACTGACGGAACTGTACGCAGATTTGCTCATTAAAAAAGCTGTCAGTATGTAATTACAAGTGTCACTTCAACGTAATGTAGGGTCCATTGTGGACGGGTTAAGGAAACGTTTATCATTGAAATAGTACTACAGTCATTGGTGTCACCGGAGAACTGCGTGATTGGTTTCAATATTGGGTGATTCATCATAGCTATATATCTATTTGCATTTCATAATTGCATAATTTTCAAACAATAGGTATTTTAATTACTGCGTGAATTTTCACGCTGTTCCATTTGTGGACGCCCTGGGTACAGTTTGTGGACGATATCAGTTTTTTTTCACAATCATGAACAAAGGTAAGCCTTATGAGAAGACGTAACCATGGAATCTCCGACAGTTTTATTCATTGCCATTAATGAAAATAAAAGAAAAATTACTCATTCTTCACCCATTTTTTGGCTGCACTGCTGCATCCGCTTCCATTTAAAGATTGCATTTAATTTAAGGAATTTTAATTTCCTTTCAACCAGACATTTGAGCAGAGGCGGATAAAGGGGGGGCGGGGGAGGGGACTGCCCCCCCTCCCCCCGTGGCCTAATTAGCATTTGATTATTTTTTCAAAATAGCTACTGAATTAAATTTTATAGGAGCCAATGAAATAGATATTAAAGTTCCTCCCCCAGATGAAAAATAAAAAAGGCGAAAGGACGAGGAATAGGCGGTGGGCGAGGGGGGTAGGTAGGAAGGAACTTGGGAACCGCCCCCCATATGAAAACTTTCTGTATCCGCCCCTGCATCTGAGGTGTGTGGAAATGAGCTCGTGAGGATAAGGATACGAGCAGAACCACAAAAGGGGTTTCGCAATTGTCTTTTTTATCCAACGGGGAAAATCAAGTCAATGTACACCATTTTAGGATTCACGGGGGGAAATTCATACGGAACCCCTTCACGTCAATAAATGCATGATCGAAAAACAACACCGTCTCAGATACCAATGAGCGACATGAATTTTGACGCAAGGAATCCAAATCTGCATACTTCACGGTCACGTTGTTATGGGTGGTGAATTGGAAATGTTATCCTGGCTCCCATCCTGGGAGAATTTCCACGGCCGGACAACGTCGAGTGAATTCACCCTGATCCGGACTCAATAAAACCAGTGATTTCGCCCGGATTAAAGAAAACTTCGCGGAAAGACCACCCGATTCTCTTCCTCGAAAGGAAAGTAACTCAGTGTGCCACCATTTCAGTATTTTTTTCATTCGAACTCGAACCCATTATTTCCTTTCCAATATTCTTTTACACCAAAATGAAGTGTTTCAAGCCTATTTGAGATTTCAAAAAGGGGGTGTCCAAACTAAGGTGAAAGTGTCCGAACTTAATTTTTTCCGCATCTAAGTTCGGACACCCACATTTTAGGCGATATCAGTTGTCATGAGACTTGGAAGGACAACATCTTTGTTGCACTCATACCTCATCGTGTCCTGCTCCTGGGAGCAAAAAATGAAGCTTGCAGCTTGTACTGTTGAGATAGGACGAGCGAATGATGAGATCAGGGAGGCTTAACTGTCCGAACATTGGTGGTTTTACCCTAGGGGAGGAAAAATCGACCGTCTAGGATTCGAAATCTGAAAAGTAATTGTTGTGGGTCCTTAGGGAAGTGAAAAGAGGGGTCGCACAGTCACCTCCGACCCATAGTTTAGCTAAAAGTCACTGCCAAAGATGCCGGTAGTCCGATCTATCAGAGAAAATTTCACGAGTTACGTCTGAAAAGCGATTTCGGACGTTTTTCGACACCTTCGTTGAATGGGGGGGGGGGTGAAATATCATTTTGGCTTGAATGAACTTTCTGAGCGAACCACCTACTGCAAAGGGGCGAGCGAAGTCTCACTGTCATTCAGAGATTCTCCTCTATCGATCTATCTGAGAATATTTTGTGATTTTTTCATTTGAGGAGCCAGGGCTCGCATTCTGCGGCAAGCGCGTAAGCGTTGGCAGAAACGAGGGGGGCGATTTTTATCCGTCAGAAACGTGGTTTATTCCGCGGGAGTCCGGGTAGATATCAAGGTGATTTTTGCATGGACTCCTTCCGACGATTCATATCTATCGATCTATCAATAAATCTGGCGTGATTTTTCACCCACATGTGTATGGCGACGCATTCTGGTGATGGTGTTTTCAAGGGCCAGTGGGGGGCGATTTTTCTTTAAAAAATGCACAACTTTGAATAAACTTTCCGAAGGAACCCTTGCAGGTATAAGTACGATTCTGGCGTCCCTGCAATCTAGAGACTCTTCTGATAGCTAGATAGTCTCTTGTAAAAGGGCTAAAAACATAAATTCGGCTTTTTTTTTTGTCTTCTTTTGGTGCACCTCATCGATAGAAACGGAGTTAAAGCTCGTGTATAGCCATGAAAAGAGGTTTTTGCTCAATACAAGGCCCATGAGATTTGGTGCACAGATCGACCGATAGGTCCTCTAAAATCACTTGCATGCTTTTGTCTGTGGTGGATCTGTGGCCCGAATGGCGGTCGAAATACTGTACGCAAAAATTCGGCTATTCCCAGTTATATGGCCGTTTGACCTTCGACCTTTTGAGTCAGCTTGAATCTCAACCCTAATTTAAAAGTAGATAGTCTTAGCTTTCCAAATACGTTATTTACTGGTTCCTCAGGTCATCGGTTTCCGAGTTGCAGTCGTTTGAATTTGACTCATTAAATGGCCATCTAGCGGCAACTTTGGCAGTGACTTTTGGCTAAACTATGGGTCGGAGGTGCAACCCCTCTGTGCGATCCCTCTTTTTACTTCCCTAGGGACCCCCAACAATAATTACTTTTCATATTTCGAATCCCAGACAGTCGATTTTTCCTCCCCTACCACCTTAATTTGTTTGAGGACGAAATCAAAACCGGGCGCAGGCATCCGAACCAGCGAAGAAATGCAAGCCTCAATACAGCCACGTAGGTCGAGGTCGAGCCCATGACTTCGTCTTTTGTCCCCGGATGGTCATGGTGTTGTGACCAGGGAGGGGGATGGGCTGGGAGGCGACGATCCTTCACTGATAGCGAGGAAACGTGGCTTTTTCTCTACTATCTCTCTTTCCCGTCTTGCCTCTTCAACAGGTTTTGCGTAAAGAACGACGACCGAGGGAGGACGCAGTGGTCGTGGTGCTCTGTAAGGAGCGTCTTTTCGCCTATACGGTACTCGTCGCTCGACGCGATGACGGTGCTATGGAATCCAATTCCCCGACCGCATGTTTCACCGCCACGCGGCAGGCGAATCGGAAATGGAAAGTATTCTTGGCTTGTGAGTGCTGCGCGCATTTCCGGCATAGCTAAAGTGCATCGGGCAGTTTATTCTCGACGTTGAGTGTATTCTCGCTAATCCAGACTCGATTGAACCGTTGCTTTTCCCCAGTTTAGCAATAAAACTTCAACGATAGGCCCTTCGCACATCTGTTTGGGGAAAAATGTGACCTGGCGTATTGCAGTACGACTCACTTCTCATTCTTTTTCAATCGCACTCGAGTCCATTCAACCGCTCGCGTCCAAGAAGCTTTCACTCATTTTGGAGCCGTCTTCCCTCACTTCAAGAAAAACTGTTCCAGGTGAAGGGCCGAGCGTGGACACGATCCAGCATTTTCCTCTTCTTCCAGATGCGGGGATCAACATTTCAGTAGTTTTCATGATTCATCTTCCATGGAAGTAGATGCTCATTTTTATTTAATTTGGAAACCTGTACTACGTTATCACAATCTATTATATACTATAGATACACGTTTTACTCTTTTGCTTATTCTAAAGCGTTCCTTACTGCTGGAGTGTATACTAAGTCTGCATCTACGTTATATGAATGAATTCTCTATAGTTTACCCATGACAAGATGCATTTACCTCTTCTCTCTTCTCATGGTCATTTGAGGCCTCTCGTCTTATTTTTAGAGTCAGTCAAATAACTAAATGACTATAAAAAGAGAGAAAGTAACTGTAGCCCTTTTTCAATCTACATTTATATATATTTTACGTACCTCTTTTACTTCACCATAAGGCATTATTGTTGCATGGCCCATCCACATAGGTTGTTTGCATCTAAGCAAGGAATAAAAGAGAATGGTTTAGAAGGATCATAGTTTTTTATGTATGTTTTGTTTGCTTTAGTCTTTGTATTACAATTAAAAGACCTCCTCTAATCCCCTTACCAACAAAAGTACACATGTTCGGGTCTGCAATGAGATTTTGTTTTGCTCTAGTCTTTTTTAAAGCCAAATTCTAACTTAAACTTGGCGCTGTTAAGAACCACAACGGATCCAACCCCATAATCCTTTAGACTAGTGTCTCTATAATTTTCAATAATGTCACATAATTGTAATACATCAGTTTTAAGATATGAATCATGGAAGTCTGTAAAAGTCTTTATATGAAATTTCTGCCAAAGAAGTAATTAGTAAGTGTATTTGTCATATGAATAATATTTAAAAATTCTAACACGTTTAAAGTAGAGTGTTGGGGCTCCTCCAGGGTGGTGGTGTGCCCACGGTTCTATATGTGCCATGCCCATATCAGGGTTTTGTGCCATGAAAACCGCCATTGTGTTTTTTTGGGGGGGTGTGATTTCCCCTTCCGGCCATGCCGTCCCGTCTTTTCGTCTTCCGTCTACGTCCGATGTGTTCGGCAGGGGCAGTCACTCGTCTGTCGTCTCTCACTGTGTGTGTCTCCCGTCTTCTGTCCGACATTTTTCGCCCAAGATCCTGTTACGTCCGGGAGAGTCTCCTATTTCTTTGATGGAGTTCCTGCCTGCCAAAGAAAGGCATCTCATCGATTCTGCCAAGGCCCAGGCTTATTCGTCCTCATCCCCTTCAAATAAGACAACAACCTCAGATTAGCTGATATGTGTCATATTCTTTTAACTTAAATTAAATACTTGCTGTTTCTTGCTGTTGAACACCGTATTTCATTTGTCATCAGTCGTCTCCTTAGATGGCTTGTCTTGTCTATGGAACGAGGTCGGACCCTTTGCCTAACCGCTCGTTCTAAATTCTTCTCTTTTTCCCTGCTTTCGGCCTAAACTAAACGTTAAAAGTCCACATTTAAGGCACTCCACACAACATATTGCTTGCCATAACTTACAGTATATACCTTCTACACCACCTTTATATGAACATTAAATACATTTTAAAGTACCTAAAGCATATCATTTAATAATAAAAAGCTTCATCTCCATGTCTTCTATACATGATACCACCTTCTTTCTTTTATCTCTAGTTTCTCATTTAGGTTTGTCTACTAAAACATAACAATCTTGACAATTGTCCACCTTGCAACAAGTAATATGATACTTAGAAGGATGTCAAAAATAATCCATTATCAGCTCCAATAAATATAATACATTGCATGAAGG